GCGGGTCGCGCCGCGGAGGAGCCGCGGGGCGCAGGGAAGCAGGTCTGTACCCCTTCCCCTCGGGAGCAGGGCCCTCGGCAGAGCCGGGCCGGCGCGCCTGGCACCGGCGCTGCTGCCCCTCGCGGGAGAGCGGCTCTGCGGAGCGCGGGGGCGCGCACGGCGCTGCTCGGCTTTGCCGTGGGCATTCCGTGCTCCCAGCGGTGTTTGCCGTGCTTGGGCTATAATTCTAATGTGAAAGGCCCCTTCGTTGCCTTCTTATGACCTGTTTAGTCATCAGGTCAGGTAATAGCAGCCCTTCGTGGGCTGGTCTGCCTTGAAAGTGCAGGTGCCACCTGGGCACACACAGGTGATTGGTGTTAAGGGTGCTCAGAGGAGCAGCTGGTGAAGGGGGCAATTTTGGCTTCACAGGAGGAGTTTAGGAGGAGTGGGGGAAGTTTTGAACAGTAATGATTGCAGTGAGAATCTTGAAAAAGCCAATAATCCAAAGCCTGTTTTAAAGGATCTCTATTTATTTATTGTATTTTAGTGCAAGCTATTTGTTTTCAAAGGATTAAAGTATATTATATTTAACTGTTTTTCTGCTTGTCTAATCAAAATGTCCCCTGGGATAACTTTAAGCAGACCTTTTTATTTCAAGCCTGCCTGCACATTATGAAATACCTGATTCCCATTATGCTCATAAGGACAACCTGGATATAAAAGGGATTTGGGAACAGTAATGTCCCTCTTTCAGAGCGTGGGATGCTTTGTGGTGGTCAGTTTCCTTTGGGAGAACTGCAGTTTGGTATTGCAGTTGCAGCACAGTTTGGTGCACATGCATTCATTTTTCTCTTTTTCTCTCTTTTTCAATTATTATTAGTCCTCAAGCTCCAGAGATGAAGTTCTAAGAGACAAACGTGCCCAAATTATGTCACGTGGCCTCCCAAAGCAAAAACCAATAGAAGGAGTTAAACAGGTATTGGTTTTGGCTTCTGGGAAAGGTGGAGTTGGAAAATCAACAGCAGCAGGTAAGACTCTTTCATGCAGCCTGTTGTACTTTTATTGGTTTTTAATACATATCTAAGTATTTATATGCTAATTTGTCTTCTGAATTTCATTCATCTGAAAACAATAAAACCTATCAGATGATTCTGTGAGTTTTATTTTGAGTTTTATTTCATGGCCCTCCTGCATAGGTGTGCTTTTTAGTTTTTCCTCTCTCAGTGAAAGCAGTATAAGGTCAATGGCTGGTCTTGCATTTTGTTAAACCCACAGTCTGAAGAAGATAAAGTCAGTATATGGTCAAGTGTATGCCAGTCATATTAACTGTGTTGTTGTTTTTATTATTATTATTAGTCTTCTATTTTTGCTATTGTCACTTACTTGTATTACAGGCAGGGATATACAGTTGTTGAAACTCACATTTTTAAAGGATAGGGCAAAATCCGTCTATTTACCAGACTAGCCTGGATGTAAGTCTGGACTTTTGTGATGGAAACAATGAAATTTGTTAATGGTTCTTTTTCACAGTCAACATCATGGCTCTTTTGAAACTATTCTGAGAGGTAATATGAAAATATTCTGAGAGGTAATTAGAAATGGATTCTTCTGTTTCTAAATCTGCATAAATTGAGACTATTGCAACTTCTGGGATGTATCCGGAAGTCTGCTGTCCTGTGCTCCAGGTTATGTGGGAACTTGCAAGTTAGGGGCAACATGAATATCCATGATTACGTTAGGCCCTATGCTGGGCCTCTAAGCTGCCTGTAATACAAAAACAACTAAGTGCAAGAAGAAAAGACATAAAGTAGCTTTAAGATAGTGCATGGAATAACTTGCTCTTTCCTTTGTGCCCCTTTAAAAATAGTCTGTAGTTTTAATAGCAGTACTACTACTCAGTTTGCTCGTTTTCTTGCTTATCTGTAATTGTAACTTTGTCTCAGAGCTTCAGAGGATGAAGAGGATGAGGGAGGAAGCTGCTTGGGTTAAGAGATCCAAGCATCTGTTTAGACTGGAAACAGAAAAATGAAATCTATGCACTCTATTAGCTTAGGAGTGAGCATCCTGTGGGTTTTTGTTTACTTTATTTTAAGGAGAGCTGTGTGAACCCTATTTTCCTTATTAACCTCACCATTTCATGTAAGAGAACTTTCTCCATAGTAACTTCTGGGACCTTATTCTTGAACTGTTTGTCAGTACCTTTGTACTGTTTTCTGGTAGATCAAGGTTGGCTGCTGCTTATGGTTTTTAAAAGGCCCTCAATGCTGAGATACAGCAATGTTTAAAGAAGGTGTAAGGTTTACCCAATAAAGTTTTTTTCTTTTTGGCCTTAATGGTTGAGAAGATAACACTTATAGTTTGGTTGTGCTAAGTTCCTAGGAGGCCTTGTGGTGTAGCTGAAGCTGGTGAACTATTAAAAGATAACATTTCTTGCCCTAGGCTTTTTAGTTGCTAGAGTAAAGTAAGTATTGATAGATATGCAGAAGTTTTAAACAGTGACAGCTGTCTTAAGTGCTTTATTCTGCTTTCCCTCTTTTTTTTTTTTAAATTACTACAGATGCTATCAAGGTAGATGAGACCTTGTAATGTAAAAATCAAGCAAAAAGCATACATTTATGCCTTCTTCCAGAAAATACATTCTGTAGTATATCACGAGAAATCAGAAGGTGTGTGCCTGTTTCTTGTCAGTGTGCTTTAACAGTTTAGTGCAGTACTTATTTAATCGCCAGTTTTAAAGTTGACTGGAGAGTGGTAAGGATGATTACAGTAGGGCTACTTTATTTTCATGTTATGCTGTCCGTAGTTTTCTGAAGGTAAACAGGCATCTCAAAGACTTTCCTTGATATTTTTTTCTTGGGCAAAAATATTGTGTTTTTATTTTGCAGTGTCCCTTGAAAACTTAGAGCTGACATTTTTACTGATCAGCATCAGTTTGGCAGCCTGTTGGGAAGTACTGATAGAAAAGTGAGTGCAGCTGCAACTGAAGCTAACAATACTACAGAGGTGCATAAAGCTAAGAACCAAGAGATGAGTGCAATTATTGAAAATATGTGATGCTCAGTATTTATAATATTTTTGTAAGAAACCATAATATCTAAATATTTAGAAGTTAAATTCTCTTGCATTTAATCTTTTTTTTTTTTTTTTCCCTTCCTCTTTCTTGCAGTAAATATAGCCCTCGCACTAGCAGCAAATGATTCGGTAGGTGAACATCTAATTATCAGCCTTAATGTAAAACAAGTGTGTGAGTCATAAATAAAATCGTTACTGCTGGCAGCAGTCCTATATATTAAATCAAAGTATTTATGTCGTTTATTTTTCATGGACTTTTGAGTTTGGATGAATTTGTTTATAGTGTGTCAGTATCATGAATGATTCAATAGCTCTCTTCTTCTGGGCTTGACTGTGCCCTTTCCCTTGTGTATCTCTGATTTCAAATGCAACTTTAAAGGATGTGTAGACATACTAGAAGATGCTTGTAGAGGCTAGAGACTCTTGGATTTTCTTTGTTGATTTTTTTTTCTTTTGTTTGTTTTTCTCTTTTAATGAGTGCATAACTACATCATTGCCCAGTTTGGTGCTGCAGACAGGCAACAGGAAACATTCAAGTGCTAAAAATGAGAGTCTTTATGGCGATCTATTTCTATAAACTAGGAGTAATTCTATTAAGTCTGTGTATTGTCAAAAAGGTAAACTTAGAAGCAAGCTTCACCTTCAGTGTAAAGGTGTGTAATATGTGATTTGTACTGGTAAAGCATTAATTCAAAAAGGGGGAAAAAAAAAAAAAGCTTAGCCTTTAGAAGGGTATCCTATAAGGCTGTTCTGCCAGTCTTCAGAAATATGATAAAAGCTCAAATTTATTGAGATCTGTCTTGGTGCAAGGGCCAGAAGAAATATGGGTGGAAACCTTTGAGATGAAGCACTACTTTAGAAATTAAATAATCTAGGAATACCTTTTAAGCGTAGTTTAGGCGTTTCGTCACATTGGTGACATTAGTGGTGAGTTATTTGACTAAGTTCTCAAATGACACTTGGAAAATGTTTCTTAATTAGTGTTGTGATTGAACATGAAAAGTAGTGCTTACGAGTTGGTTGCAAACAAGGTATCCAATTATTCTGACTTGATAAATGTAGCATCTCTGTGACAAGTTAGAATAAACAGAAAGGGAAATGGTGTTGTCATGCCTTTTGCTGCACACTTCCTGTATATTTCCCTAAAATCAATCATACTTGATAAAAAGAGGTTTTTTATAGAAGCCATACAAAGTATGTACTGTTTGTAACAGCATCTGATTTTGATATTTCACGGTTTTAATTCTGCGTTATAAAGAGTCTGTCTGAGTAATTTCAGAGAGAAATCCATCATCTTGAAAAGCAAAATGGCTTAAATGGTTCCTTCTAATTAAATTTAAAATGTAGCATTTGCTGTAGTTGTGGGACCGTGCCCTTTTTTAAGAGTAGAGCTTGATATGTATGTATAACACAATTATTAAGGCAGTTGGACATGGCTTTAAATGTGATAACATGATATACCACTTAAGTAGCCCATTGAGACACTTTACTATTAAGGAACAAAAATAGAAGAGATGGATGATTGCAGAAGTTGTTACTGAAGTCATTTGGAAAATTGGGGATTGAGAAATACTTTAAATGAAATTGAGCAAAGCTGAGTAAATGTGCAATATGCTAGTCATTTCTGACAGGAAGTTTACATGGATTGAAGGCCAGAAAATGCTTGATGTTAATCAATGCACAAGTTCCTGACATAGGGAAATTGTGCAATGATATAACAAGTTTAGAAAATGGGAGAATTGCATAGTCGTAAATTGATCTCTTTAATGTGAGAATATCTGTTTTAAATAAAATTAATATAAAAAATAAAAATATTCATATTTATATAGCATCGTGTTCATGTTTAACCTTGGGGCTTGATTTTGTTGTTCTCATTTGTGTACTACTATTGGTTCCTGTTGATTAGTTTTGTCAAAATTATAGAATGAATATCTTCCGGTGTCATGATCCAGGCTGGGAATGTTTGCCCCTGAACCATAGGGCATCATCATAATGTTTTGCTGTGATGAAATGAAAAGAATGTGTTCCAGAGTTCACTGCTTTTGTTTGCTTTTTTGTTTTTATAAAATGGAAACTTTTTCAGATATTAGTCACGGTCGGAAGTATTAAAGCATCAACAGAGTCTGAGACATGG